GCCATACACATCCTTCATTACAAAATTATAATTAAAATGTGGCCTGAAAACTGCATAATAATGCAATTTATGTTTCCAACAGACAACACCAACGCATGCGACAAAATAAGACCAAATAACGCATTGCAGGCAACCAGAGAGGGACTGTTAATTTGATTAAATTACAGATTACTCTAGGTTGAACGCTCAAAGAAATGTAAGGAACACTCTGAAAACACATCAGATCTCAATGGGGAAGAAAATCATGCTGGATATCTAAACTGATATAGACTGGGTAATGTGTTAGGAACGAAAGGATGCCACATCGTTTGATGGAAATTAAAATGTTTAACCTACACTGGGCTGAATTGAAAGACACCCCGAAAATCTAAGTGAAAACATTATTTGGTAGGCTAGTCCATTTTGCGGAAATTCCATTGCAGCAACTAAAAGTGGTACTCAGTAATGTGTTTTATCCTAATGTGCTTTTTTGCATTCTTAACAACGTCAGGGAATGCTTCTTATGAGGCGATGGATGGTGTCCTGGGGTATGTCCTCCAAGATCTGGAACAGGGCATCACTGAGCTCCTGGACAGTCTGAGGAGCAACCTGGCAGAGTCGCATGGACCGAAACATAATGTCCCAGAGGTATTCTATTGGACTTAGGTCAGGCGAGCGTGGGGGCCAGTCAACGGTATCAATTATTTCATCCTCCAGAAACTGCCTATATACTCTCGCCACATGAGGCAGGGCATTGTCGTGCGCCAGGAGAAACCCAGGACCCACTGCACCAGCGCAGGGCCGACAATGGGTCCAAGGATTTCGTCCTGATACCTAGTGGCAGTCAGGGTGCCGTTGTCTAGCCTGTAGAAGTCTGTGCGTCCCTCCATGGATATGCCTCCCCAGACCATCACTGACCCACTACGAAACCGGTCATGCTGAATAGACAATGACCAGGCAGCAAAACATTCTCCACAGCTTCTTCAGACACTTTCATGTCAGTCACATGCTCAGGGGTGAACCTGCACTCATCTGTGAAAAGCACAGGGCACCAGTGGTGGACCTGCTAATTTTGGTGTTCTATAGCAAATGCCAACTGAGCTCCACGGTGCAGGGCAGTGAGCACAGGGCCCACTAGAGGACGTCGGGCCCTCAGGCCACCCTCATGAAGTCTGTTTCCAATGTTTTGTCAGAGACAGTCACAGCAGTGGCCTGCTGGAGGTCATTTTGCAGAGCTCTGACAATGCTCATCCTGTTCCTCCTTGTACAAAGGAGCAGATACCGCTCTTTCTGATGGTTTAAGGACCATCTACGGCCCTGTCCAGCTCTCCTAGATCAACTGCCTGTCTCCTGGAATCTCCTCCATGCTCTTGAGACTGTTCTGGGAGACGCAGCAAACACTCTGGCAATAGCACGTATTGATGTGCCATCCTGGAGGAGATGGACTGCCTGTGCTTCCTCTGTAGGGTCCAGGTATTGATTGATTGATTGAAAAGTTTATTAACAGCTTGTATATTGGGTACAGTACAGTACAGCTCAAAACATACAATTGTTAAGGGGATGCAGACCAGAGAAAGACTTTCGTCTTGTTTACATCAGGGTCCCCCATTTCCAATTCATCATAAATGTACAAGTAGTGACACTGACCCTACCCAAATGCAAAACTAGTAAAAAACAATCAGAAAAGATGATGAGGGAAACATTTCAGTGGCCTCCGCCTGGAAAACAATTCCTGTTTTGGGGGATGTGTCATTGTTGCCACCTCAGCTCACAAATCAGCTGAAACTAATTAACAACCCCCTCTGCTACTTAAATGACCACATCCATATCCCAGAAGTTTAATTGACTTGATGCTATACTCTGATTAAAAAGTGTTCCTTTTTTAGCAGTGTATATAACATAGGTCTAGTCTTTTTTGGACATTTAAATGTGTTTAAAAAAGCCACTGTGCAAGCTAGGTAGTTAACGATAGCAAGTTAGCTGACAACAAACATCTTTTAAAAACCAAATTACAGTGTACAAAGTAAACACTATCCAGCAGTGTAACCGTTACAATATGAGTATTATCTGCTGACTTCACTGACTCAGTGTCCATTCAATCTGAAGTATAAACAGAGCCAGGAATCCCTTTTTACTGTGGTGATTCACTACACTAGGGTCAACTCTGACACTGACACCACAGACCTCTAGCCCATAGCAGCTGTGTTAGCATGGGTAACATTAGGGAAAATGGGATTTTAGCATTCTTTCTGTCTAATTGAGAACTAACACCAAACTAATACAAAGTGAACATACTACCATGCATCACGTAATAATGATCAGTCCAGCAGCGGTATTCCAGTATTTAGTATAAATTGCTGCTTTCCTGGCCGGTGATACAGTATACAGCAGTGTTGTGTTTACAGTGAGAGCCTGTAGCAACAGTACGGATTCAAACTCACAGATCTGGCCAAGTTAAAGACAGTCGCTCCATTCAGAAACAGCAGAGGACACAGGGTGAACCGTATGACACCTCCCCTCCACAACCACACTCAGTCATGACTCCATGACTCCTGACTCTAGTTTCCTCAATAGTTTACGTATGACAGCTTCTCAAGATTATAGGCGAAACATACGTTTCTTACTTATGGTTAATTTGACTCAACTGAAATTGTGAAAGACTGAAGAATTTTTTTTTTTTTTCTTCATTGTATTTACCACAGTATTTACCATAAAGTTTAAAATTACACCCAGAAGAGACGAAGAAAACCTCCAGAATTAATGTATTTGATGCACACTTACTCTCAGTGGTATAAGTACTCAGACATTTTACTCAAGCAATAGTAGAAACAGTCTACAAATACTCTGTTACAAGTGAAAATCGTGCATTTAAACTCTCACGTAGGTAAATGTACAAAGGTATTGGCATCAAAAAATACTTAGAGTACCAAAAGTAAAAGTACTTATAGTGTGTAATGTCCCGTCGTAGAATCATGTATTACATTAGTGGAGGATTTATTTGTATGCATTAATGTGTTCATTACAGCTGTTAAAGATGGAGCTACTTTAATTCAGAAATCCTTTATTGGTCCCACAATGGGGAAATGTACATCATTACAACAGCAGACATTGCAGATAAAGTAAGGAAACTTTTTTTAAATGGCTTAGTAGGCTATGCACAGTAAGTTAAAAAACTCAAACTAAAACTAGCAGATATGTACACCATGGTAATTACTTTAAATACTGCTGCTGGATATCTTAACCCCTAATTATATATCACAGTTTATTTATTAGTTCATTTATATTTTGTTTTAGCTAATAATCTGAATGTGTAAAGTAACTAGTAACTAATTTTGTCAAATAAATGTAGTGGAGTAGTATATAAAGTACAATATTGGCACCGAAATTGATGTGGGGTAGAAGTATAAAGTAAAGTAGTATAAAATAAAAAATACTCAAGTGAAGTAAAAGTACCCCAAAATCGTACTTGAGTACAATACTTGAGTAAATGTACTTTACTATGACACCACTGCTTATTATGTTAACTTTGGTAATTCTGTCTCGCGCCACTCAGGTCTTTCTTTGCTTTTCTTATTGAGTTATATGCGACATTGTTCTTCATTTGTACCTAAACATTTCTGCTATATGATATTTTATTCGACTGTATTCCACTATTAAGTTGTATAGGCTGTATACAGGGAAAAACAGCTAGCTGCTCACAGTGAAAAGCGACGCAGGGAAACGGCAAGAGAGTGGAGTGATGCTGCGTGTGACCCGTCCGCTAACTCCCACAACAAAACCGTCACACACCGGCCGTGTCCCCGCCTGGTCCCCGGTCGACCTCTGAGAGGCATGTAATCCCCCAGCCAACACACACATACGGGGTTAAGGTCAGGCTACTTACGCTCTCGGTCTGGGGAAGCCCATAGATAACAGCACGTCCAGGTTGGAGCCACATTTCACTGAACCCGGTCGGTTCTGCCGGAGCCTCCGAGGGAGGATTTTACTGTAGAGGTCCTCTTTGGCAGCCATGGTCCACTGGGTCCCCTACTCCGCTACAAACCCGATACAGTCCACCACCACACCTCCAGCTAGTCCATGAGCGTCGGCCGGGTCCGCATGAGTGAGAGGGGAAGGCAACAACACGGAGCGGAGCTGAGAGCAGCGCTGTGCGGCCAGGCAGAGCCCTGCTACTCCGCCCACTGGAGGAAACTGCAAATTAGATCTGCTCACTGAATACACACAGTACAGGGAAATAGTACACAATATATGAGAGGGTTAAAGGAAAAAATGATCATATAATGTTATTGGCAGTGGTGTAAAGTAACTAAGTATACTAAAGTACTGTAGCCTACTTAAGTACAATTCTGAGGTACTAGTACTTTACTTGAGTATTTCCATTTTATGTTACCTTGTAATACAACTCCACTACAATTCAGAGGTAAATATTGTACTTTACTCCACTACATTTATTTAGCAGATATGGATTAATGATCAATTAAATATGATCAATTATTAATTAATAAGACTAAAGTTACACCTGGATTCAATTCACATGCTACTCAGCAGTAAATCAATAATACATTAAAAAAAAAAAAAAAAAACATTTGTTCCACCTTTACAGGGCTTGATAAACACATTGATATATCAATGATTATAATGAAAATATATAATATATATTGTTCTGAAATGGGCAAAGCGAGTACTTTTAAACTGTTGGTAATTTAAGTATATATTTTGTGCTTTTACTAAGGTAACATATTGAATGCAGAACTTTTACTTCTAACAGTGTATTCCTTCACTCTGGTAGTTGTTCTACTTAAGTGCAAGATCTGAGGACTTGACCCACTTCTGCTTATTGGTTATTTAAACTAGTTTGAACTACTGTATAGACTATATTTATGTACAGGTTGAATAATGTTGCTTTGAGAATTGGAATTGGTACATGACTATTACAGGTGAACAATAAAACTGAGAAAAACACTGACAACGATACAGTTGCTTTTTAATTTGTGTAAAAAAATTACATTAGATTATACAAAGATAATATCTATAAAATATCACATGTAGAAAAATAATTACATAATTTTCACATTACTGCGATTGATATATTTGACTCAAGGTCATTCTCGTGCAGAACCTTACATTTCCATGTGATCATCATTGTCATATAATCTGAAATAAAAATGTAAAATATGCAGACTCTCTTTTGTCCAGAGATCAAGTGACGCAAATCCTGATGGATGATAAAGCACCATTTGATCAATCTGATTAATAATTACACACAGTATCCCCAAAGATTTAATCACCTAATGGCAACCCTGATTTTCCTTTTTTAACAATGGCTTTCTTATATTTTCATGTATCAGAATACCTTTATTCATCCCACAGAGGGGACATTTACACATTTGATCATAAAACAATCATGATCTCCGCTGTCTGTTTTAGTAATAAGGGCTATGAAATGATATTGGGCCTCACTGAGGGTTGCACTCTGCCATATCCAGCCGATGGCCATGAGCTGGCCTCGGGTAGCCCTGACTGAGTCGTGGGGAGATGTGAGGCTAGTGTTGGCCGCCCACAGTGCTGGCAGATGGGTTGTATGGAGCGATGACACAGAAGACACAGCCTGCCTCCTGGAAAGCTTGCCTCATTTCCACCTAGTGGGCAAAACACAGACTGCATTAAACAGCATTGATTCACAAATAAAGTACACACTCAGAATTTGCAAACTATAACAGGTTAATTACTGTTAAATCTTAAGACCTCAAGTCCAAGATCCTGTCAAATGACACTATATGGAATTATAAAAAGGCCTGAGCTTTGACATACTGTGACGTTAGGAATAGTTTGGATCTACTAACAAAACCTTGCAGAACTTGGGATTTGCTGCTCCACTGCTGCCTCGATTGGTTCATTTTTTTAATTTGTTTTATTTATGACTCTGATGTATCTGAAATAACCCTTTAAATAACACAAACTACTAACCATCCTGCAACCTTCATGTTCCGCAAGCAAGAAATACCGTTTTTGTCAAAGATGGCTTCGAAAAGAGCATCAAAAAAGGGCTTTTTGACGGCAAGGTAAAGGGAGAATTTATTCTAAACATTTTCGATATTACGGACTAACTTTGGCCCCAGCCATTAGACACTGCACGCTGACATAATATTTGTGGTTACTTTGAATGTTGAATTTAAAATTCTGCGAAAATGTAAAAGGTATAAATGCAGAAAAAAGAAAATAAGGAAATGTTACTTTAGATTTGAAGTCATCTAAATACTAGTGTTATTGCAAGACATATAACTTCCTTTACGTGGAAATATGCTCACTATTTTAAAGTTGTTTGGTTTTCTGAGCATTTTTTTGTCAAAATAACTTATTATTGTTGGGATGGAGCCAAAATCAGGTAGAGTATTGTTGAAAGAAATACTACATTCATTAATTAAGGGTTAACAAAGCCAACATTGGACATCCCTACATGGAAACACAAATTAAAAAGTCTTTCCTTTAGCAGAGAATTTTAATGAGGATTTCTTTTGATTTCATCAGAAACTAGAATCATGGTTTCAGACGTTTAGAATGTGCTCTGTGACTACACATCACCCTCTGATCCATAGAACATGTCTGCTTAGCTCTCCTGTTTACTAAGGTAAGGGTTAACTCATCTATTTTTATTTATTTTGTATTCATTAGTTTATTCCACTCATTGCAATTATAAAACAAAACATGTACACTTTATGCAATGTTTATAGCCCATGATGGAAAGGAACAGGGAGAAGAAAATCTTATTTTACCGGCCCCTTACTCATAAAAAAAAAGTCACAGCTGCTTAAAAATAGAGAAACATGAAACCAAAATCAAAAGTCAACATAACAATCTTCTGTACCTTCAGCAACACGGGTTACCTGACATCTTTATTCTGTCTAATTTGTATTTCTTTATACATTTTATAAAACCTAAAGATGTTCTTACAGCCCTTTAAATCATTTGGTAATGAATTCCACAGTTTAACGCCAACTACAGAGATACATAGCTGCTTTAAGGTAGTCTGTGCAAAAAGTTACATTTCCATCCAAGTTGCTCATCCTCTGAAGTTAAAACAAATTTGTTTTGGATATTTTCTGGCAGTATGGTATTTTTTGCTTTATGCATAACTAAAGAAGTCTGTAATTCAATTAAATCTTTACATTTTAACAGCCTCGACAATAAACAGTTAATTTGTGTGTTCTCGGGGATGTGCATTATGCAAAATGCTCACTGCTTTGTTCTGTAGTGTCAATAAAGGTTTTAAATTACTCATATCTAATGGAGTACAAAGGGAACCAAGACGAAGAAAATAAATATGAGGCTCCAATCTCACATAATGTAGTCTTACCAGTTTCTCTTCATCCAGACACAGACCCACCACGGCTCCCCCACTGCCGGGTAACTTCACCGCCGATCCAAACTGCAACGAGCATTAAAACTTCATGAATGCATAAATAGAAAAACACTCCACACAGATGGAGATGGATAAAAGTGTGAATTAATAAATAATGCTTGCTCTTAGCAGGTGGAAGAACATTTCAGTACCGACCTGCCTCGCCAGCTGAACCATCTTCAGGTTCCCCGGACCCAGACAGTCATCAGTGTACACAGACCTGTGGGATATGTTGTTACTGTAGCTAAGAGTGTACCTGTAGAACCTTCTGCCTAATGCCTAACATCAAAATATACTATTTACCTCCGCAGCTCAAAGTTCTGGTCCATCAGTTGAGCCAGGCGCCTCCAGTCTCTGTCCTGTAGAGCCATCCTGAGGAGAGAACAATATTGAATCAGCTTCACATCTAATGGTCCCATCTCTGAAATGTCACAACATAGCCAAAAACACTTCCACAGTATTTCACACAACAAGTCAAGGAATCCATCGGTTCTCTGTCCGTCCGTCCCTTCGTCCGTCCATCTTCAACCGCTTATCCAGAGTCTGGTTATGGAGGAAGCAGTTCCAGAGTCCCTTTCCCCGGCCACATCAACCAGCTCTGACTGGGGGATTCCAAGGCACTCCTAGGCCAGCGTGGAGACATAGTCCCTCCACCTGGTCTAGGTCTACCCCTCGGTCTCCTCCCAGCTGGACGTGCTCGAAACGTCGGCCTGGTGGCATCCTTACTAGGCTCTACTCCGTGTTCCTCCCAGATGATTTAAATTCTCACTTATCCCTAAGGGAGATGTCAGCCACCCCGGGAGGAAACCGTTTTCGGCTGCTAGTATCCGCGATCTCGTTCTTTAACCATAGGTGAGAGTAGGAACAAGAGCGGTAGATTGAGAGCTCTGCCTTCTGGCTCAGAACTATGCTGTAAAGCGACTGCAATACTGCTTCCGATTCTCCCGGCCCATCTCACCTACCATCGTCCCCAACAGATACTTGAACTCCTTCATGTGGAGTAAGGGCTCGTTCCCTACTTAGATTAAGGGTTCAGGAATCCCAAAGCCATTTCACGACAGTTTGAAAAAAGGCCAGACATAATTGTGGTCAGCTTTTGCGTGAGATGTTTTAACCAACCTACCCCAGTGCTTTTTATTGCATACATTCTTGATCAACAATCCACTTCAAAGTGCTCAAACCAACCTTGCTTGATCGGTGAGCTCAGCAAAACTCTCATGGCCTCGACACCAGAGGCTTCCCCTGTGGAAAGACAAGCAGCATGAAAGTAGTCCAACTAACTATTTCCTTTTAATAATCCAACATGAACAGAAATATGGAAATATGCACATGAGCTTGCATATTATTTTTTAAGAGGAACTGAGGATTTTTGTTCGTTTATAGAAAAACTGAAATGTCTGGGCATTACCTACGTAGGAAAAGTTAATCCTAAAGGGGAAACACAATTATACAAGACAGTATCTTCTAAAGGGGTGTGAAAGAGAAACTCCCTCTGGAGGGAACTTTGGTATTGTTTAAAAGCCTTTGCAAAACCATTTACATGCACTGAAACCTATATAAAACACTACAGGAAAGCAATGATAGGGCCTCTTTAATTAGCAGTGAAGATTTGCTGAGTCATTTTCCATAAGAAGACTCACCACTGAGCCAGCGCTGTCTGATGTTGCTGTGGATGCGTCCAGAGTCGCTGGGGTCGCTCAGGTAAGCCAGCCAAAAGTGTGGGAGCCCACTCATGTCCATAGAAACATAGTTCCTGACAACAGGAAACACACATTAGGAAAGACATTTCTTTGTATCATTCACCTTATCATCCACGGACAGATGTTGACTTCAATACCGTAGCCCTGCTCTGCCATGAGATTCTTCTGCTGAAATCCATGTAGACAAGCCTTCATACACCTGTAAAGACAAAGGAGTATTGAATTTAAGTTAAGTGACATGGTTCGATGTTGTGACGGTACATTTGTGGAGAGTTTATTTATTTACTGACCTGAACAACTCTGTCCCTGCAGGCCCGCAGTGATGAAGAGCTCATCAGTCTCCACGTTGAGGATGAAGTTGGCTCGGATCGGCTTTGGGAGATCCTGGAGAGGTCAAATAGGAGATACATAAACAAGTTAAAGACACAATAGATACCTTGTATGTCATTTTCACATTATATGTAATAAAAAAATAAGTGTTTTTTTTGTGTTTTTTTACCATGTAAGACTAAGCCATATTAATGAGGGGTCATGTTTGGGTCTAATCTGTCACAATTGTGTGTTATTATGTTTGTGCGTAATGTGTCACTGTCCTATTGCCAAGGGCAGAGATACAGTATTTAGAGGTGCTGTGTCATATGATTGGGGTGTGTTTTGACCGTTTTTTTTACCCGTCTGTAGCAGCAACGTGTGGTGATGTTACGTTCGCGAACATCTTTTGAGCGGCTCTTTGGTACAAACGAAGGGAACCGAGTCGTACTTGGTGAGAGCCATTCTTCAGTGGTACAGGTAGACGACGTGTGTTTCGGGTGAAAAAATGAGCAATCGCGAAAAATTGCAGCAATGATAAAGCGGAGTGCAACATTTGTGTAAGCCAAAATATAATTTAAAAGCAGGGTCAACAAATAATCTCCAACCGCCACTTTTTAAAAAAACGGCTCTTTGACGGCTCTCGGAAAGGAACGGAGCCATAAGATCCGGCTCCCTTCAAAGAGCCGTAATTCCCATCACTAGCAACGTGTGTGGAACACTGCTAGCATTGTATGGACTTTACTTTTATAATGCACATGCTCAGAAAATAAATGGATTGTATTAAGCTTCAACAAAAGAGCATGCAGATTTCTTGATTGAGGCCACACAGCAACGGTATCTTATTGAGCTTTAGTATTTGACTAAGCTCCTTTGGAGTCTTTCATTTCATTTGTTTAAAAAAGACTTTGATGATTACAAAGAAACACAATTGCAGCTGATGGTTTTTTCATTATGACAAACAGCGGAAAGATATGACAGCATATCAGGGCCATTTCAGTTATCAACAATATGAAGGGAAAGAGGGGTAATATTCAGTAAAAAAAGTAAAACAAAAATCAACTTAATCTTAAACAAAAAAAATCTTGGCTGCCAGCTCTAACCACTGAGCTATCAGGTGACCCGTATGTGGTATCCGCTGCCAGAGTGCGCGAGTTCGAGTCCGGCACACAGAACTTAAAGGCATTGTCGACCCCTCTGTCTCCACCCTTTCAACACTGTATCTCTCAATAAAAGGCACTCTTTAGGCCAAACATATCTTTAAAAACAAATAAATAACTTGGATAATCTCTAAAATAAAAATTAAATCTACTTTAAAAGAATAACTCCACACCTCACTAATGTTATTTAAACTTCTGTGATGAGTTTTTCGTGTCTTACATCAGTGACTATCTCTGATATTATTTTCTCAAATTATTAACCCCCTTCCTCGGCTATGTATATTTGTATCTTTTGTTTCATCATATGTTTTTGTTTTTAATCCTTTTAGGACAAAATGTCCTCTCCATTAAAGGCAGCTCATTGTGGAATAGCCTCCCAACTGAGATACGGGATTGTCCCACTCTCAATAGTTTTTAAAAGGTCACCTCAAAGAATGGTTGAGAAACAAACAGACGTGCAATCACTGCTGAATGCACTTTAACACAGGGGTATCTCCTCTTGCACTTTATGTAGCTCTTTGCTGCTACATATGTACGTGCTGCTATGTGGTAAATACTTGTGTGTGCTGCTCTTGCTCTTTTGCATATCATGTATTTGTCTTTGCTATGTGTATAATTGTCATGTTCTTAAATGTTTTATGTGAGGGGACTGCAGATGGAAATTAGCTCCAAGCTAAAATCCGGCATATTTACACTATTTGCATTTTTTTGCAAGTGTTCATTAATGTGCATTGCCCCTGCTAATATAAACTATTAACATTTTTTTTTTTTAAATCTGCTGTAGTGGTAAGGTGTAACTGAAAAGTCCAGATAGCTTTGATGTTTTGGTAACTCCATCAGATGGGACAAATCCTTACATTGTCGGTGATATTGTAGAACTTCATGAGACACTTCAGAGTAGCTGAGACGATGGCAACTGTGAAATAAGAGGGCCGTCAATTATTTAAATAAAAAGGCATAGAAAATTACCTAAAATGACCTTATCCAAATCATCAGACAGAATGTTTTACCTGCTTCCAGCGAGGCCCTGCAGTAAATTAGAGACAGATCATTTCATCATTACGGAAGGTTTTCACATGAGGAACCAATACACTGACTGTTATCCAGTATTTAAAATGGCTGCTCACCACTTGCCGAGGAATGTTGGTGTCATACTTCAGTGTGAAGTTCTGCTTTGTCAAAGCAATACTGTGGAAAAAACACACAGCAGACATTGAAGGAGCATTATAAGCTAGTGTGACTCTCATTAACAAATAAGGTAAGCTAAGTTAAATAAATAAAATTAAAATTAATTTAGGATTAATTATTTTAAAACATATAAAAAGACAAAAACGTTTTTTATTATTATTGTATTTTCATATATGTATGTATTGAGTATTGCACACAGAACACACAGATATGATACAAATATCTTTGATTCAGGGTGAATACAAATTTTTTTGAAATGATAGAACTATTCAGTTGGCTTGATTCAGGGGAGAGCCCCACAGTGTCAGATTGTTTTAATAAATACGTCATGTATTTAAAGCAGTGCTTTTAATTGTAACTAAGTATTTTTACAATATTCTATTATCACTCAACAAAATTATCTGAAAACTTAATTTATTATTCACTATTTTAAATTGCAAAATTAACCCATAGTGTTGGAGAAAGTTAAAGCAGTATCCGTGGGTGATATATAATGTATATGATATACAAAGTTGGAGGTAAAAAGAATGCTAAAGCTAATATTTAAATTAAATATTTTATCCAATAATAATCTGACCTTACCCTTGTTTGGAGCAGAACTGGTAGGAACTTCTTGCAGGTAGCCTGCAGCAGCCGCAGACCTCCCAGGTACCTACAGGTGGGGGGGGGGGGAACAGAACATGTAGAAAAAAGCCTGAACATGACTCGTGTATTTTTGCTCATTTCACGTGTGATGTACTCACCCTTCCTTCCTGCTGATGCAGAACAGATCTTGCAAGCTTTCCAAACTCTGTGGGGTCGTTGAGGGGATGAGGGACTAACACCTACAGAGTCACAGAAATTCACAAATGTTTTCCACAATATGTCCCAGATGAAGTTCTATTTTTTTACTTCTGAATTTGTAAGTGTTACCAAGTCTGGCTCTCCACAAGAGTGACCTCGGCCCAGAAGTTAGAGATGGACATGGCGATGGTTTTCCCGTTGAAGCCATCCGAGGGGTTCCCCATCAATCCAACCCTGTGAAGCATCATATGTTTTGAAATCTGTTCATATAGTGTCTTTCAGGTTGTAGGGCTCTTGTTGTGAGGGTAGGAGGAAGGAGGGACAGTTTGAGTGCGTTGTGTTGAGGTTTTTCTTACCGGGCAAAGGATCTGTATGTGATTGGTTTAGCAGGGTTGTCTTGTTGCTTGGTGGAGTAGTGGGTGAGCCACTTGGTGTAGTCTGACAGGCCCTGAGATTTCAAGAGGATGAAAGAAAAGATGTTAGAACTACTAAAGGGCTTTGAATGTAATCAGAGGGATACTATATTAAATCAGAAGTAACATGCATGGCAACACATGAATAAAGTGACCAAAACAACCTTTAATCACCTAAGAAACATTGACAATGTTTTGGCTTTAAATATCCTGTTAAAGAGGCAAACAACTATGTTTAGACTCAAAATAAATCTCTCTTTATCATCACTAAGGATCAAAAGGACAGCCACTTAGTCCACTTTAAGAATATAAAGAGACCCGTATGTGTTTTGGGGGTTTTCCCTTTCCTGTAGTGTGTTAAATAGGTTTCAGTGTACAGTTGAGGCCTAAATTATTAGCGCCCCAGGAGTTATGGAACATTTTCCTAAAATTCTTCCCAATGTTTCCAGCATTGATACAACTTGATATAATCAAACATTCACCAGTGCTATTTAATAGCTTTTGGTACATTTTGGAAAATAAAATAAGTTTTTAGGCTTGCTTTATATCAAATATAGTGAAAAATGGGTTGGTCAAAAATATTAGCCCCCAGGCCATTAATAGTCAATAGTGTACCCTTTCTGAGCCACAACTGACAACAACCTCTTACGGCCCTTGCACACGGCGGCGTGCGTTGAAGCTTGCTGGCGGGGGGGGGCTGAAACTCGACCAACAACCAATCACATGAATCTCCCGCCCCGGACACACAAGCACGCGGTTTGATTGGCTAGAGCTTGTACTGGCATATGATTCGATTGGCTGACGCTTCCGCCGAAGCTTCAAAAGTTGAACATTGCTCAACTTTTGCAGCGAGCAACGCTTCTGAAGCTACGCTTCGCTCCCACAATGCAGTTCGGCGAAACGTGACGTCACCCCCATTCAAAGTGAATGGGGCAGAAGCGTTGAAGCTTCAACGCACGCCGCCGTGTGGACGGGCCGTTAGAGTAGTTCTTTACTAGGTGGCACAGGTCTCTTGAGGGATTTTGGGCCCATTCTTCCATTGCAAATTGTTCCAGCTGGTCCAAATTGCGTGGTTTCCGAGCATGGACATTCACTTTGAGCACCCGCCACAGATTCTCAATAGGATTAAGATCTGGGCTATGTGCGGGCCACTCCAGCACCTTGGTTTTGGTGTCCTTTAGGAACTGTTGAACCAATTGTGATGTGTGCTTTGGGTCATTGTCTTGTTGGAAGACCCAGCGACGACCTAAGCGAAGACTAAGACCAGATTTTTTCATATTATCCCTCAAAATGTCAACATAATTTTAATTTTTCATGATGCCTTGCACCCGAACAAGGCTCCCTGTGCCTGAGGCTGCAGAACAGCCCCACAGCATGATGTGTTCTTAAGGTTGAAGGCCTCTCCCTTTCTTCGCCAAACATAAGCAACATCCATGTGCCCAAACAGTTCCAGTTTAGTCTCATCAGACCAAAGCCACAGACTTACAAAACTCATCTTTACCTTTCAAATGTTCACGGGCAAACCTCAGTCTGGCTCTGATGTTCCACTCTTTGAGTAATGGGGTTCTTCTGGGACGATGGCCCTGAAGCCCACCACGATGAAGAGCCCTCACAACTGTGTTCCTTGAAACATCAACTCCAGAAGAGGCCAGGTCAGCAACAATCATCTTGGCAGATGTCCGGGGATTCTTGCTGACATCTGACTATTTTCCTCTCCAGAGTTCTTGAAAATCTTGCGCTTTCGACCACGCCTAGGTTTGTTTCTTACAAAATGTGTCTCCTTGTACTTCGCAATGATGCAACGTACAGCAGTTCTAGACATTGTGAAGCGCTTGGAAATAGCAGTATAGCCTTCCCCCTTATCATGAGCCTCCACTGTCTTCTTTCTGAGCTCAAGACTGATTTCCTTTGTCTTTGGCATGGTGAGTAGGAGTAGTAGTATAGTCCCTCTCAATAAGGTATTCAAGTGCCTGTTTCTTGGAGTCCTTTTATGCTGATTGAATGCTCAGGTGTGGCTTGAAAGCTGATTGGTTGATTAGGTGTGGTTTGAAAGCTGATTGATTGATTAGGTGTGTTTTGAAAAAAAATTCACATGGGGGCTAATATTTTTGACCAACCCATTTTTCACTATATTTGATATAAAGCAAGCCTAAAAACGCATTTTATTTTCCAAAATCTACCAAAAGCTACTAAATAGCACTGGTGAATGTTTGATTATATCAAGTTTTATCAATGCTGGAAACATTGGGAAGAATTTTAGGAAAATGTTCCATAACTCCTGGGGGGCTAATAATTTAGGCCTCAACTGTATGTAAATGGTCTGCTAAGGCTACAATCCCACACTCCCCCCCCCTGCCTGAAACTCCTCCATTGGACTTCATTGGACTCCTTTGTTTACTTCCGTAACAGAGCAGACTGGGCTCTGGTTTCAGACAGAGGGTGAAAAGAGGTGCTGCAGCACAGGCAGTATGAGAAAAATAAAGACCTTTTTGAACATTAAAGCCTGGAGACATGTCACAGTAGAGGCACACAATACAAATGTTAATTAACTCATGCTTTGTTCAAAATAGATTAGGTCATGACAATGTTCCTTTTCCTGGTCTTATGAAACGGTCAATGGAAAAATGTCAATAAACTGGTTCTGGAGTTTTTACCAGAAAAAGGAAAATAGGGTTTCTTTGCTAAGCTTCATTCAATTCCAGTTTTATTTTAATTGTATTATTGTTAAGGTGTATGTACTGTATATAAACATCTTAGTATTAAGATTGGTGTACTTTGTAGAACTTTGTACTTAGAACTTAGAACTTGACTTTATATAATCTGTAATGAGCTCTTAGATCTTCTACTGTTAATAATTATTATTACTGTTTTTAATTATAGGAATAACAAAAAATACTTTGCTTTTTTTTTTTTAAACTATGCTCCAACATTTTGAAAGACCCTACCAAGATCTATTACAGAAGTAAACCTTTTTCTAAAATGCCAGCTAAAAACCTTCAATTTCAATTTGGCCTATAATTAGTTTGCACAGGGAAGAGGTCTGAGTGGATGCCTGTTTTAAAACACTGGTCTCTCAAAAGGGAGAGTCCTGTGGCTGGCTGATGATGATGAACTGAGGTAGAATACAAACCACTTGTCCAATGAGCTGGAAGCCAGTAGGAAGCTTCATCCCAAACACATCCAGTTGCTTCTCATTGACGAGCCACTCCTGAAGAGACAGGAAACACACATTATTATTACTTTATTCATTCATGATAATGCACTTGTTTGTTTTTTGGAGTAAAGTGGGACTGATTACAATCTTAATGAGTCAAATTTTGATAACGAAAAGTTTAATCAAAATGAAAATCAAGGTCATACAGTAATTGTCCATAAACCTACTTTTTAAATCATGTGCAGATAGAATAATCACACAAGGGCAAAATTACAGTCAATTGACCCCATTATACATTTCTCGTACGGCTCCACAAATATTGAGAATTTAATCGAAATCACATATGGACTAGTGCAATATTCAAATTGTTTAAGCACAATATTGGTCAAAGGCTTAATATGTGTTCAAATATTATTTGAATATACAGTAAGTATTGTGGAGCTGCAGCGATATCCAAGCCTACAGATCTACACTCCTGACAAAAACTTATCTGTCTGGTACAAATTATCTTTAAACAAAATAAATCACACTGTAATCATTTAATGTATTTTCAATGAAAATTCCAAAATGAATGTTTACTTAACAACATAGGCAATTAGTTAGTAGAGAAAAGTCCAGTTTAATGTTGTGAGGGGGCAACATTTACAGTTTCTAACTTGATCTGAGGTCACACTTCTTGAATTAGCACTTACGAACCCAGAATCGTCCGAAGGATGCCTGAGGCTGCAGGCGCAGGAAGTCGGACAGGTGGGACAGTGTGTCTCTCTGGAGACAGTAAAACACAACGCTGGCCAGCCGGGACGCTGTGAGCCCATCCTGAGGTTTCTCCAAGAAGCGTGTTACCCTGATTCAGAACACTACAATAGATTAAAATCTAATCTGCAAAATAATGAAATGCCACACACAAAGTACTTTTGTAAAAAGGTCAAACATGAGACATTTCTGCATTTAAATGTCTTTGAAATAGTTTTCCTGTTAAATGTATTTGATGGTGTCTGTATTCCATTTAGCACACATAAGTGTAAGTCTGCTATTAGGCAAGCTGTATTTAATTGACTTTTTATGCAGTTCACAGCTACATTGTTACGATACATTTTTAGATCTTGGTCGTGTTCGTAACCCATATTTTTAATCTAGAATAAGAATTTTCGGCATTGGAGGCCTGGATCTTAAATTATTATGTTAGCAAACATTAGCTGTAGCTCAGATCGCACTCGCTCTGATAAGTTATTTTCCCCCGCATGAAGAAACACAGGTTTAATTGGTTATATTGGTTTTCATTTGTTTGTTTTGGCTTGGATAATTCCTCTGTGGATAACTTGGCTTCCAGTAAAACCTATTGACCGATGAACACTAAATCCTCATCGCTAAGTAGAAGAAGCATTCGTGGTAAAGGCAGCACCTCCCCTAGTGGCAGAAAATAACATACTGTGCATTTGTTGCTGCTGTTACAGCATGTGGTGCATTTTAGAGAAGTGTAGAATGAGTCCTAAAACTCTAAAATGAATTAGCATTTTACAACATCCGAATTCGTCGTCACGAGGTCAACGTTTTTTTTTAATGTGATTGTGGTCAGAAGCCTGGAATAAGGTATTTGGTTAAAACAAGCTGAAGAGATTTTGAAGTTTGGTTCTTTGAAATTAAATAGTCCGTAATTACACCACTGAATTTCTGAAGCTTCTATGTGTCATAAAACGGCAGTTGCTAAATAACTAATTAAACTACTAAATGTCCTCAAACCACAAAGGATATTTTCTGCAATATTCCGAAATCCAACGGGGAAATCTCTCTGATATTTGACGAGGGAGACCTTGCGATGCTTCAAAAATACATCACTTCTCCATTTTATTAAACTATAGGTAAATAATGTCTCACCTGTGGGTGTCGGGGCAAACCTCCACTATGCCTCTGGAGCTGCTTTTCTCACTTTCCTCCAACTCGTAGTATATGATTAACTCTCCAGGCTGCAACACACACAAAGGGAAGGGCTGCTCATGACTTAAAAAAATCAATTTTACCTTGATAAAAACCCTTAACACACACTCGGTTGTATGCTTTTATGTCCACTTAATAGATGAAATCGTATTGTGGCGAATCACCTCTGACCTGAAGAAGCGGATCACTTGAGCAATGTCAAAGTTCTGGTCTGCACACAGCATGTCTCCTGCAATCTGATCACGCAAAGAGAAAACCGTCACTGAAAGACATCCATTCATTCAATTATAATAGCATACACCCTGTCAACACAATGAAATCAAACTAGGCAGCAGGGTTGGGTAACAACAGATGAATGTGTAATCAGAATAACATGGTCAGATAACAAAAAACCCAGTATCTACTAGCTGATTACATTTTAAAAGGTTGCAATAAGAGTAACAGCTACCTCTGTAATTTGTATTTAGTTTTTGTGTTTTATTTATTGTGTTATTAATAACGTGTGCATATGTAGCAATTTTTTGTAATTTTTATCCTCATTTTACCTGCACTATCCTCTGTTGTAATCATGTTAATTTCCCCATTGCAGGACAAATAAAGTTTGAGGCAGGGGGGCGGGTGTGTTGGAGAGAAACGATAGTTACGTCTGTAACTACGGTTCTATGAGTCCCTACTGACCGCCAGAGGCGGTGCTTTAGCACTGGATATGTCCATAGCGCGCATGCGCAGCTCGAGTACCAATAACAACAAAGTCACCTGTGACCCACGTGACACCGGCGACCCACGTGACACCGGCTATATCTGCCGATGTCGTCAGAGGATCTGTTCCTAGAATCTTCTCGCGAGCACACAAGAATTCTGAGTGACAGGATACTCTGGCGGTCATCCGGGACTCATAGAACCGTAGTTACAGACGTAACTATCGTTCTATTTCGTCCCTACTGACCGCCAGAGGCACTGGATGACTTATACCAACCATGTCATGAAGAATCCAAGCCCTTGCTCACTACTGGAAGCAGCGGAGCTCGGCAAAAGGACCACGCCCAAAGGATGGGGAGTGGCGACATTAACCCGATAAAACCTGGAGAATGTGCCAGAAGACGCCCACAACGCCGCGGCGCAGGTGGTCTCCAGGGGCACCTCTCTCAGGGCAGCCCAAGATGTTGAGATGCTCCTTGTAGAGTGGCATCTCAGCCCTGATGGCAGGGGGCGGCCACTGGCCCCATAGGCATGTGGAATGGTATCGACAACCCAATGGGGCAGCCGCTGTTTAGAGGGCACAACCTCTTTTAGTGCCGGGAGCGGGAGCGAGACCACTGCCTTCACCAGCTGAGTTAAATAATGAAGCTTAGCAGAACATGCAAGATGTTAGCCAAGTGGCTGCTGCTAACATTCAAAGCAATACGTTACCGGGAGCGGGAGCGAGAGCACTGCCTTCACCAGCTGAGTTAAATAATGAAGCTTAAAAGTATATGCAAGGTGTTAGCCAAGCGGCTGCTGCAAACAATCAAGCAAGTCCAAGTCAAATAACACAAATGTTAAGCCCAGATAATTAGCTTCTAAAGAAGAGAACAGCACGGCATAGAACCGTATTTACAGTAGTAACCATGGCCAGTGCTTACACGGCATAGAACCGTAGTTACAGTAGTAACCGTGGCCAGTGCCTACACGGCATAGAACCATAGTTACAGTAGTAACCATGGCCAGTGCTTAAAAGTGTCAGCCAAACGGCTGCACACTAGCAATAATATAATATTGGGAGGGATGAAACCCTCTTTACTGGCCACACATGCAGAGCACACAGCACACACAGTGAAGATTGTTCTCTGCATCTAACCCATCCTAGTGCTAGGAGTCTAGTACTAGGAGCAGTAAATACGATATAGTTAGGCTGAGCCACGCTACTGCTAACTAAATAAAACGAGAAACGCAGCTAAAGCTGGAAACTCAAAATGCCAATGATAGCTCGGGCACAACGCCACAAGCAGAAAGTACAAAAGAGCACAATAAGGGCAACTTTATGGGAGAGGAAGCGGGAACACTGTCGTCACCAGAAAGTCTTAAGCCAAACAAAAAACAAGACAGCAATCAGGACAACTTAGCTGGGAGAGGGTGTAGGGACACAGCCATCACCAACAAAGTTGACACAAACCTGTCCGTCGCGAAGCTGCACGCGGCCAGCTGTATGCAGAGAAATCCCTCAGATCAAACGTTCAAACTGAACGCTGTAGGCTACAAGAATGTAGCCACGGTACTCTCGCGCAGCGAGAAGATGAAAGGAACAGATCCTCTGACGACATCGGCAGATATAGCCGGTGTCACGTGGGTCACAAGTGACTTTGTTGTTATTGGCACTCGAGCTGCACATGCGCGCGATGGACATATCCAGTGCTAAAGCACCGCCTCTGGCGGTCAGTAGGGACGAAATAGAACTCCCTCTGGATGGAACTTTGGGATTTCTGCCTTTGCAGACCATTTACATGCACTAAAACCTATAAACACGCTACAGGAAAAGGAAACGCACAAAGAGCATGATAGGGCCCTTTAATCTTTTTGAAATCCAATAGATTTTGTTACTTATACAAAAAAATGTAATGCGATTTGTGTGCAATAGCTGACTACATTTTATCAGTTATCTGATCCAACAGTGCTGAGCAGCTTTTTAAATAGAGATGCTCCAACACCAATAGTAGATGAATTCACCATACCACCATGATGTCGTCCTCCAGCTTTCGGCTGCGGATGACCAGCTCCAGATCAGCCACGGCTCCGAGGCGGTCCTCCAACGTCGTGCTGCCGTCATTCACAATGTTTTCAACCGGGAAGTCGTTAGCTGTGGCCCAGCGCTCATAGTACTTATACCTGGTTGGTGAAACACAATGAGAATGGAGCCACCAGAATATAAAACATTCACTTTGTAAATATCACTTTTTCAGAATTATGGGAATTGTAAATTAAAAAAGGCAAAAATATTTGTATCTCAAGTAGGGGTGTAACGGCCCGTCCACACAGCAGCGTTAAAAAAAATCTTGGAACGCTTCTGCCTATTCACTTTGAATGGGGTGACGTCACTTTGCCTCACTTTTCGCCGAACTGCATTGTGGGCAGCAGAGCGGAGATTTTCAGGATTTTCAGGATTCAAAGTTGAGCAATGTTCAACTTTTGAAGCTGAGGTGGAAGCGTCAACCAATCAAATCCCGTGTATGCAAATCTGACAGTTCAAGCGCTAGCCAATCAAACCGCGTGTATGCTGGGAGAGACATACCACAGGTCATTTCCTCATATTCCAAAAAATGGAGGAGAAATTAGCGGTAGGGAATCACCCGGTGCTTTATGACCAGTCCCTATTTACCTACCGGGATACAAACCGGAGGAGTCAGGCATGGAGGGAGGTGGCAGAGACAGTGGTAGGTTTTCGCCTGTTTGGGGAGTTTATATCCAGTTTACTTCGGGCTTTTTTGCTTCGTATGTCGGGGGGCGGGAGATTCATGTGATTGGTTGTTGGTGCCTTGCTTGCAAAAAATCCCCAAGCTTCAGATACGCCCACATCCAAGATTTTTTTAATGCTGCTGTGTGGACGGGCCGTAACGGTTCACAGAATTCACGGTTCGGTACGTACCTCGGTTTGGGGGGTCACGGTTCGGTACGGGTTCGGTACAACAAGAAAAAACAAAAAAAAGTCCAAAATGCATAATTCCAGGTTTGTTGTTATTTATTTTTGAACAGTAGTGCAAGTTTCAGTATAAAAATAAGGAACTCTAACATTTGAATAATTAACTGTATTACAGTTAGAAAACAAACCACAAACAGTACCACACACACTCAGATGGCCATATTATCTATACAAAGCTAAATGTCAAACAAAAAGGTTTCTTGAAAATATTACAAAATAAATAATAAGAAAGTGTTTCCAGTGCGCATTGCCGTTGAAATATATATGCCAATAGCTTCCGTTATTTATTTTGGTCTCTCAGCTTTCATGTCTATTGGCTTCTTAAAAACAGCGGGGATAAGCTTTTGAACTGCTGTTGTCTTTTGCCGGGCTCCGGTGATTGGCAAATATGGCTGATGCCTTCTGATATGATTTAGCATGTTTGGCGTGTGTTTCCATTAGCATACCGCACCGCTGTCGAACAACGCCAACACACCGTCCTCGTCCGATCCAAGCCCCCAGGAAGTGCACCGGACTCTGAGGAAAATATATTCGTTGTGGCCAAACGGCGGTACTACACTTCCGTATCAATCGCTGGGCCCGGAAATACTTTTTCCCATTGACTAATGGCGCATTTCCACTACACGGCCTCGCTCGGCCTCGCTCGGCCTCGTTAGGACTGGCTCACTTTATAGCGCATTTCCATTACAGTTTAGGAACTGGGGTAGTATCTATAGTAACGCAGTGTAGGCGGAGCCGCGACGTAATCTTCAATGAGAACCCCAGAAAAAACAACACAGCCGTTAGCTGTTAGCACTCAGAGCTCCTCATATGTTCAGAAACTAGACAAAAGTTAAACAAGTACAAACCACAGACTGTCTGTGTCATGGCGAATACAGTCGCTGCTTTATTTATGTCTGTATAGGCCGTTGTTGTGAGTGTGGACGGTCGAGGCATATACTGCGTTAGCTTAGCCAATCTCCATTTAGAAAACACGCATTTTAAAAGGTTTTTCGCCTGCCGTCTGTCTGCAGACTTGTCAAAGCATTAATTCATGGTTTTTACTAACCGGTATCAGTATGTTGTTACTTCGGCATCATTTTGAAACGTGTATTACAATTAAATCACGGTCAAATATGTCCATCTTGTTGTAGTTGTAGCCCCCTTGCCAGCGATTCTCTCTCTAGTTTAGCATACTCAGCCCGACTCAGCCTCGTTGTCTCTGGCCCTACACCCACGATTTTATGAGGCCAGAAAAACTGTGAATTAGGAACCGCCGGCCGGTACTAGGCCAAGTGGAAACGCAACCAAAAACGGGCCGCTGACGTCACAGCCCTCTTAAACCGTGCTCCGCGCTGTAGTGGAAACGCGCCATAACATTGGGAAAGAGACGTCTGTAAATCGTTGGATAATTTCTTTTAAACTAAATAAACTACCCAGTATGAACATTTGTATAGCCCTTATTAAAAACATTCGGTCCTCAAGTTGTAAAATGTGCTAATAACGTTATTCTGAGTTATTTTCCTCTGCATTATGAACGCGGATCTAGCCCACGGGACCGCGCCGCCCGTATTCGTCCCGAACCGTCACGGATACCGTTACAACCCCTAATCTCAAGTGAATGCATTAGGCTTCCGTATTCCAAAATAGCACCAAATGGGTATATTTGAACTCACTTGTCCGCATTAGTCACCAAATACACTTCTGTGAAAAGCTGTCGCCTGGAGAGAGACCATAAGAAGTTAACCAGTCAATGTTTTCAAAATAAAGGAAAAACAGGAATTAGGAAGTATCATGTTGGGGCGACTTGCGCCTGTCACGCACATGTTGACGGTTTCCCACCAAAAGTCGAGGATCTTCCTTCCTCCCACGCCAGGAAGTAAAGCCTTTGGTACTCCAGTCAGGTGGCTGTATAAGCCTGTTTCATCATTCTGGGAGAGGAGAGATGGAAAAAAACAGGTGAACTCAAATACAGGTTACTCAACTACCTATACTATGATGACAGTATATAGAAGGAATGTACACATGCTCGTCTAGAACAGAACAGAACAGAAGGAGTTAGTATGTGGGAGAGAAACTCCCTCAAGAGGGAACTTTGGGATTTTAATGTTTGCAAACCATTTACATGCACAGAAACACATACTATATCACACTATAGGAAAACAAAAATCACAATAGAGCTTTTTTAAAGAAAATAAAAAAGTAAAAGTATTGCTAATACACTGGCTGTGTACATGTATAATGTTCTATCATTTATTAGTTAATTCATGTGTAGCCTACTGAGAATGATTATCTGCAAACTAACTTATTTAAAACATAATCATTTTTGTAGCGTAACAATTCAATTAAGCAGTGCAGTACTTACTTAAAGGGGACCTATCATGCAAAATGCACTTTTGCACGTCTTTTATACATGAATATGTGTCCCCGGTGTTCCAGGGAACTCACCAAGTGTCAGAAAACACAACCCTCTCTATTTTCCTCCATACCCAAATCTCTAAAAAAGGGGGTGCAACGGATCTGATAAAAACTGATCCAGATTTGAACACTGTCCTGACGTCAGGACAGTGGCGCTACGGCTATTGGGCCAACTCCACTAATCAGGAGGAGACAGCCAGGGCCATTGCCGTTCGAAAGCGCTGGAGACGCTGTAGTACATATGCCAGGCTTGTAGATGGTGCTGTTCTCACCAGGGGCGTCGCCTGGACCTGAAAACATTCGGGGCTTAGCCCAGTGGTGGCGGCCGCGGCGCTACAGTGGAATTTTTTACTGCAACATTCCCCACACGCACACACACAGTACACCTGCGACTGTTACAATGAAGGCTCGATAATCAGCTCACAGCATATAGACAGGGGTAAAGTGCTATTTTTTGGGGGGGGGCGGACCTCACCTCCTCTAGGGGGTCCGGGGGGATGCTCCCCCGGGAAGATTTTTTTTTAAATATTGAAGTTAAAAGCATCAATCTGGTGCACTTTGAGAGCAAAATTAAGAGATCTATGGACACCTCTCAACACCCATATGAAACAGAACTGTAAACAGATTTACTTTTTCTTTATGGATATTTTACAAATCACTCCCCTTTTAAACTGCCATATAGTATTTCATAACTGTTTTTCCTTTATTCTCTTATTTTTTTTTATAACTATAATGATCATATGAAGGTGTGCCGCGGAAATAATCTTTTGAATAATTTGTGACCAAACCGTTTGAGACCCACTGAGATAACTTAGACTAAAGTTAACTATCTAAACACTTAGAGAGTCCTTTAGCTCACCTGAGTCTCTCAGTCTGACAGGACAGGACTCTCCTCCAGCAGCTTGTTGTGGAACAAACAACTCCTTATGTCTGTTAGCGCAGCTAGCTAACCAGATGCTAACAACACGGTCCCTGCTGTTCTTATTATACATCCATGGCTGGCACCGGTCCCTCTTTCTCCCTCTCTCCCTCTCTCCCTGTCTCCCTCTCTCTCTATCACACTAAATGCGCTATTACCACACACACACAGAGCTGAGCTGACACAAGCACACGTTTATTTCCATGCAACTCTCTGATTGGTCTGGTGTCATGCCTCTGTTGCATTCACTGAACACGGGAAATTACAGTCCTTACGTCCTCTCTTATGTCATGATGAGGTTCACGTAAAGCACGGTTAATGTATTATATTATTGGAGGGAGAATTGTCCGGGGCTAAAGAAAAAACATTCGGGGCTAAAGCCCCGAATGCCCAGGCCAGGCGACGCCACTGGTTCTCACAGAATCAGCCCTTGCAAAAACAGAGCTAACATTTTTCAAATTGAGCGAAATGAGGCATGGCTAAAATGCATGATCTGTTTGGTATTTTGAAGAAAAAAAAAGTATAAATATGCCTTATATACTGTAGGTATGGTCCTACACTATAATAACTAGTAATAACAGTCCGCTGCAGTACAGTATGTGTTATTAAGGTAAACTTTGGATTCCCTAGCTCATTGTATGCGTTTTACATAATGTACAATTTTATATTTAAAACAAAAAAAGGATAAGTGTTCACGTGGGGTTGTATGATACGTATAGGTGATATTAAATAACGTCAACTCAAACACAGGTGTCCCTAAACACAACACGTCCCCCTCTGATAATAATAACGTTATTTTGGGGAACATCATGTGCCAACCTTATGAAGTTAGCTCCATAATTGTGTCTTTCTTCCTCGGTGAATGTAATTGTTAAAAAAATAATTCGGCAGGTATATAACGTATACGAGTCAAGGTTTTTCACAAAACTTTAATTTCATTCCACCACAATGATAGATGGATAGACGGCGTTCCAGAGCCAATGACAAAAATGTCATTTTTTAAAGATTATCAGAAATATTGTTCGGTCAGATGTGCGCCGAATGTAACTTAACATCCCTGTGATTCTGTGCATGAGGTGGTGGTCTAACAGGTAAACAGACCAGCCGACTTGTAAATAAGTGGTAAAAAGGGGGATTCTTTAAGGTAGTTCTTTGTACCGTTATTGCTACATACCGAATCCGAACTTTGCACTCCTTCAGCTTATCTCCTTTCTGCCGCAACATTCAAGCTACTCACCTTAATTTGAGCCTCTAAGACGGTGCCGTGGCCCGCTACCAGCAGTATACAGATCATTGGTGAAACTTCACTGTGTCGTTATGTTGCTTTTAAGTCAATAAGAATAGAGTCCAGTGGTTGAAAATATCTTCGGTATCTCCAACAGCTTAATTTCGCAGCGTCAGTGAAGTAACGCACTTCCGTAAAGATCCTTCAAAATAAAACACCCATGACTTTTTTAGTAGTTCTTCTTGGTAGAGCAATACATACAAAAACAGCGTATACACAGTGGTGGAAGAAGTAATCTGATGTTTTACTTAAGTTAAATTAGCAATAATAAATTGTAAAAATATTCTGTTACAGGAAAAGTCCTGCATTCAAAATGTTACTTCACTAAATAGTACAAAAGTATTGTGATCAAATTATACTGAAAGTACCAAAAGTACTTCAAACTTTTGATACACAAATTATTGATGTATTGATTTTACTTTTTTGTATCTGAAACAGTAATTAGTCCACTATTTGAATGTTTAGAGATCGCATTATGTCAAAAGTTAATTTTGTGCACATTTTTCAGCAAAAAAGTCACTAAAGCTGTTTAATAAATGTACTAGAATAATTAATTACTCAAGAAAAGTACAAGTACTTCCTAATTTTACTTGAGTACATGTACTTAGTCCACAATATACAATGTATACTCATAAGTCATGACTATGATACAAGGAAATAAAAACAGGTTGTCATATTATAACCAATTTACCGCCTTTAATAAACAGTGGCTTATGTACGTACAGTATATTATTTGCTTTTTCCTTTTATTATAAAGACATACATAGCCTACCTACAATGAAAAGCTAACCAACCTCTGTTACTTTATTAGGTTAAATGGTAGCAATTAAATTATTGTCCCCAGTAAGGTTTTATGAAACGTACAAAAATACAAAGCAAAGAGCTGAACTATGAAGTTGGTATCATCTGGTCTTAGTGATATTGATTAGATCAAAACAAGTCAAAGCATGGATACAATGAGACATTAACATGAGTGCATTTGATGCAGAGAAGCACGGTACTGCAGAGGTTAAAAAAAAGTGACATGAGTAGCTGGTCATGTTTTGGAGCTTACTGTACTGGAGGTTAATGAACAATCATAATGTTTGTGGAGGAAGGCATTCTACAAGGGCTTTGTTTGACTGATGACTTTCAATGACATTCTTTACATTTCAATGTTGTAAAAAGCTTTGACGATAATATTCAAAGATTTCATTATGCAAAGATGCTGGATTGGAATACCAATGACCATATTCAATTGTTTTCATGCACTCTCGATCACAAATAAAGTATCTCAAAGCATTTCAAGTACTCTTTTGGCCCATACGCGGTTGTCTTCAAATACCCCGGGGCATCAGGGTTCTCACTGGGGGTCTGTGCTGGATGATCCCACAATGCCGTGCTGTCGTAGGAGGTTCCTCAGGATCTGATTCTTGGATTTCCAGTCCTCCACCTAAGCAACAGCAACAAAGATAGTTAAGAAGTAGTAATACTGCCTCATCAGCTGACTCTTGACCTTCTTTCATGCAACAACTGTGACTAACTCAAGTCATGTTGAAGTCTGGACAAAGGAGCATTAAGTGTTTCATTAGAATGTAGGTATCCACTACATGCTTTAGAAGTCATATTCTGGCTTTAAGTAGACAAATCCTGATTATAAGTTAAACCAATCACCAGTGCCACATTTGCATCTAAAATACGACGCAAACACACTTATTAACCAATTTTGTCAAGACATATGTCAAGTATGTATTGTAGTACTTGTAATATGTTGAAAACATATTATTCTATTCCCTTAAAAAAAGATTCTGATCAATAACTACAAGATGTAACAGATGGCTAGATGTTTTTTTTAACCTGCAAGCCATTGTATCAACTCTTAAACTAGACTGTTCTACGCAACCAACAGCAGGGTTTACTCATCATCGATTATGCAACTGTTTTGATCGTTTTTTAATCGTGCAAGTACATTTTCAAGCTATTGGAAACATTTGATTTGAATTGATTGCTGGGCATTTAGCATTTGTTTCCTGCCTAAATTTCTACTTTTAGATATAGCGTTTTCCCCATTTCTGTTATTATGTATTTCAACCAGATGAAATACATAATAACAGCATTATGGATCACATTATAACATTTAGTAAGCATGTAATCCTAGTACAGTGGTTTTGCTTTAGACTTTGGAGGTTGGAAAAAACTTGTTTTCTCACAAGACCTGGGTCATAACAAATTTCACACAACAGCTTAAGGAGAAATGAGTCCTACATTGACACAGATGCCCCTTTCACACCGGCGCTTTTCCAGCTCCTGCTCGGAGCTGGAGCTGGAAAAGCGCCGGTTTTTCCTGTTCACACCGCAGCGGCGGCGCATCATAGCTCCAGAATGCGGTTCACTTCCAGCTCCAAAAAATTGTCGGTCCAGAGGCAAGAGCTTCGGAGCTATGACGCGGCGTCGCTTACGTCTCTTACGTCTCTTACGTCGAGGCGTGCAGGAAACCTTACTTTGACCATCCGTTCGCTGTTATTGATCATTGTGGAGATACATGGGCTGTACAGGTTGTCATGTCCGACTATCACAAGTAGAATCATAATGAAAAATACGCCGGTAAAATGTGCCTGTAGAAAACGGCTTAGCAAGTAGTCAGTTTAGCTTCGGTTGCTATGCTAACATCACCCATGTTCTACCAGAGAAACTTTCATAACAGCGTTGTGATGCCAAACAGCGTCAATTCAGACTGACACACATTCACTTAAGGGGAACTGGGGATATGTATCAGCTGCTTGTGTGACAGTCAGACAGTGAATACTTTAGAGCCGTGTGAGCTAACCCGGAGCTAACGGGAGAATAAACTCCCGTGGAAGTGCAGCCAGCACTGCAGCGGTCGGTAAATGCCGCTGAAACACATTAATAAACAATGAACCACGGCACTCTGGAGAAAAGTATAAGGTTGGAGAAGTCGTTATTTAATTTGATCTGGCTTCGTATGATTAAAAGCAACACGATCATCGACCCGACGCAGTCCCCGGCCCGTTGTTGTTGTGGGAGAAAATCAGCGACGTAAACTGTGACGTCATGACGCAGCAGCGGCAGCTCTGGGCAGTGTGAACAGAGCGGGAGCTGAAAAGGGAAACCGGAGCTGAACCAGAAAAGCTCTCGCTAGGAGCTAGAAAGGGAAAAGCGCTGGTGTGAAAGCCGCAAGAGTGCCTAACTGTGCTTGTGGGTGGTTGCTAAACCAAACATTCCCTTTTCAGTTGTCAGTGTACACATGTTCAATTTATGAGTAGAACACATAAATCAGCAGGCGGATTTGTCTGTAAGTTATGTTCAATTTAAGACTTTTTTAGAGTAGCTATAAACCTGGAAATATGTCAGCATTTCACCACTTCCGGTTCCCTTGTCTCAAAGTCATCCATTTTTTGAACATGTTGTTGGTTAGATGCCCGAAATAGAGTCAGTGGTTGACAAACTGGAGAGATTTGCCTGTTTTGATCTACGACGTAAAATACATCAGTAAATACCCCAATCGTGAATGTCTGAAGCTTCTATGTGTCATTAACACTAGAACCGCCAGAGGTCGCTGTATACCTAAAACCGCCAAATTTACCCGCTATTGATTTTCAAGGTACAATGTTCTTTTATTTATCATGTAGAACAGTGAGTTTTGATCGCACAGGGATGAAACTTATACCAATAGAATCTGTGGACTCTCAGCTTTTCATATGATATAGTTTGTATATCGCTAACAGTGCTGATTTAAACGCTTGGTGTTAGACTTGTGTTTTGTTTAGGTACAAATCTCTCTATCTCTCTCTATCTATAACTATCTATCTGTCTATCTGTCTATCTCTCTATCTCTATCTCTCTATCTATCTATCTCTCTCTCAATCTATCTCTCTATCTATAAGGAACCGTAGTAGACAAAAGGCGTTGCTATAGCAACACGTCATGTTTACGCTGCATTTTCTATGAGGTAAATATTACTCGCAGGCGGATATAGGTATAAATGGCAATTTTTTTGGCCATTATTTAAATCTGACTTCATATTGACAATGTTTAACAACAGAGGGTGCTACATAACACAATTTCAGGAAAAGTCACGGACTGGGAGACATTAATATTTTATTGAAAAAAAGTTACATACAATCAAAAAACAGCTGCGGGTAAAATTGACCCGTTGGCGGTTCTAGTGTTAAAACAGCGGCTGCAAACAAGTGACTAAATGAGAATACTAAATGTCACCACAACGAACATTAGCCACCTTTAGCTTAGCAGTCGTGATGCACAGCCATGCAACTGTGATGTAGTTTACATTTACGCCTCAAGAAGGTGGTGTTAATATGTGGAGAATCTAATGCTTAATAAAATGTGTTATAAGAGTACGTTTGCCACAGATCTCATTCTTTGCAATATTCCTAATCCAATGGAAGAATCTCATTCAGTGTTTCCCCTATATACAAATAGTGGCGGCGCAGCGCCGCTGCTAAAATATGCGCGCCGCTGCTAGGGGGCACCAGCCAGGTACCCAAAAAAAATATATATATATATTTTTTTTTTACTTTTTTTTTTTTTAAATAAAATAATAAGTGGCGACCCTTTTTCATTTTTGATTGTTTCTTATGTGGATTTGTAGTATTTGTGTTACTGTATGTTCAATAAAGGTGTATTTTTGCTAAATCTTGAGACATTGCCACTGTATGAACTAGGCAGGGCACATTTTTGGCATAGGGCGCCAGATCTGGGGGGCGCTGTGCTGGTAGCTCTGGGAGGGGAAACATTTTTTTTGACCGTTGGCGCTCATCCTAATTTTCGGCCTTGATGTAACAACATTCATAATTAAGTAAATTTCACCCCGGTTACACTTTTCATTTGCCCTGTACGATGGGCGCTGTAAGTGATGAAAGTGGGGGATGTTGGCTTATCAGGCGCCCGCAGCTCACAGCCAAAGTGCGAGCGTGGGAGCGAGCGAGGGAGAGAGAGAGGAGTAATTTTAGTCTAAGTCATCTCAGTGGGTCTCAAACGTTTTGACCACAAATTATGTAAACACATATTTCCAAGGCACTCCTTTATAATTATTAGGATAAATAAAAACAGGTTTGAAATCATTCCAATGTATACTATAGGACAGTAAACCAAAAATATCGTTTAAAGTTGGAGAGATACAAAAATATGCATAAATAAATAAATGTTAACTGGGTAAAATAAGATATGAATGAACCACAAAAATAAAATAAGTTACATTTATTTGTTATTGGCTATGGTAGGTTATTGGTTATGTTCACATACTTATTTGATTATTAAAATGTAAACTTGTTTTAGAGTTGTACCCCCTAGATCAGGTCTCTAGTAATTGTGTGCTCAAAGTGCACCAGATTGAAGCATTTTACTTTAAAATGTTCAAAAATAAATAAATTAAATGAAAAAAAATTCATACAATACTGAATACATTTGAAGCCATTTTGACGTATATTACCTATGTCAATAAGTTTCTGTTTTTGTAGTGTATTTGTCTTTTGTAGAGATTTTTCATTTATTCTTTATATATAAAATCTCGCCGAGGGCAGCAAATTGGCTAGAACCGGCCCTGGTACTAGGCCTCAAGAGCCTTTCTTGTGCTGGCAGACACATAGAAACAAATTGGCGGGGCGCACTTCGCACGTGCACACACTAAAGAATTCCACGCGCTCCGCGCTCACATTATGCTGGGCCCACGTGCCTTAGCACCGCTGCTATGACTCCATCCTAGGGGAAACACTGTCATTCCTTTTAATCCAGGAGCCCTTGCCATGCTAACGTCATCACTGAACCACCACCAATATTTGAGAAATCACTATATTGTTTCCATGGCTGTCCACTTTACTGACAAAAAGTAACTAGACTTGACAGCTGTCTAAAAACACGTGCAGTGGTACCTCCTGTCTGAGTAGCTGGTTGTCCATCCTGAGGCGGTCCAGGGTGCTGATATCCTCCCCCAGCTTCAGGTTACTCTGTCGGAGCTCCTTGATGTAATCACAGGCTTTGGACAAGATTCCTCCTTTACTCTGAAACAAAACACAAGAGAATTTAGGAATTATAGAAATTGCCAGCTCTTTCTTTCCCAATCCTTTTTAGTGTAACAAATGTTGTGCTTCTGGAAATAAAAACAAGAGCTCACCTGTCCTGTCTTGGTGTAGTCAATGTTACAGTCTGGGATGGCCTTTGACAGCTGCACTATCCAGTTGTTAATCTTGTCCCTGCGCCGGCGCTCAACTGTTTGAACAACATTACAAATTTAATTTATAATCCATACCTGATCAGATATTAAATTGATACACTGGACATGAGCACTGACCTTCGTTGTGCTGAGCTCGCCGCTTATCATCTCTGGAACCCCGGGGAGCTTCTTGCTTTCTAAAAAAAAAAGATGAAAGCAAAGATTTTGCTAGATATAAGATACACTTTATGATTCCCAAACTGGGAAAACATTTTTTTATAGAAGATGTTCTACGATTGACTGTGTATTGAAGAACCAGTGCTGTATTTCTGTTAAAGGAGGATGTAATTACGCTATGTATGGCTGAGTGCGCGGTGCGAGCGTCCTTTGATTGGAACCCGTCAGAACTTCCTGGGGTGACATCATCACGTAAAGCTGCCCTGAAAAACAAAAGCTTACTGTCAGCTACAGATAAAACGTTAAGCATCTTAGAATAATCATCTTAAAGTAAAGGCCTTTAATTATGGTAATACAAATAAAGACTTCTTCAAAACTACTTAAAATGACTTTTTGATTAATGATTTTAAAAGTTGCATTTCATTCATTTATTATTAATATTATAATGTCTTTATTAAACAGGGACCATGCATAAAAATACATTCATCTAAAAAAGAGAAGAGATGCCATACAGTATTTAGGAGGTACACACATACCAACGAACAAACACTCTTAAAAATGTGACGTGTGTTGTACTTGGAACAACAAAGAAGATCCAAAGTTAAGATTTTCTTTACTTTCTCTTAGAAAAAAGGATGGAAAAAGGCTTCAGGCCATCCACAGAGAGGACGATAAACAATGATACCCAGTCAGCCAATGGGTGTATGTCACACAGGTTTATTATGATGCTAATGAGGTTAATGCCAATCGTCAAAGTCAACAGCTGTAACGTTAAAAGTAAAAAATATAGGATGGTGAATTTAAATATTATACACTGACAAACCGAAGGGAAATCCCTGTTTGAGTGTCAAAGGACATCGATCCCCTATTGATTTTAATTTCATTTTTTACACAGTTCAATACTCAATTACGATTGGGCAATTTGGATAATCCAGAGGCTCTCGCAGGCCGCTCCTAAGGAGAGCGGCCTGCGAGAGCTCTGGAGATGAGCGGTAAAATGTGCAGCGAGGCGGTCATTAATGAAAAGAACAACGACATGGTGATCTTGACTCACCCTGTTGGTGTTCTTTTTTCATTAATGACGCTGCACATTATGCCTTACATATCAACGCCGATCATCGATCTCGAACGACATTATGTAATTGTTTCCCTGACTGACCATCATAACTGGGCTCCATGTAGATACAATTATTTTTTGATGTGATAAGCAAAAACTCAGATTCTGTATTTACTGGCAGTCATATGAAAGCATGTTTTCGCCCAAAATGGGGCGGGGCCATGACAGAGGACAAGCACCCGGATTGGTTGCTCTCATTTATAGTCTCTATCACATTAACATCTATACAGATAAAGTACAGATCTATCAAATATGCATACCCGCACATTTATCATTACAACCTGATAATATATCATATTTAAGTAGTTATTATAGGAAAATAGCATTATATAGTTTTTCCAACAAGAAAGCAGCCTTAGCTGCATAAACACACACACACAGCAGTGCTTACCTGTGGGTGTGGTCTGACCCAGCAGAGTGTCGGAGGCCTGCACTGTGGTTACCATGGTTCCCGTGGTGGCGTCTGCGATGGTGGCAGGGTAGTATGTGTACTGCGTCTCCGAGCTGCCGTCTCCCTCCAGTCCCTCGGGCTGGGAGAACACAGCCTGACACCAAACACACACTCACATCAGCACTCCTCACAGGTACACAGTAAATGAGAGAGTTTATCCAAACACTGCATGTCTTAGCTCGAAGAATACATTTTCCAGAGGCATACATTTTTTATATTATATGAATGAGAATTTAACTGGGAGAATGTGATTCTTGAATGTGATGGCCAGTGCCGACAATATTATCGTTTATCGCAATATTTCCGGGAAAATGTATCGTCCAGCAAAATTAATTATCGTGACAGGCCTAGTGATGGGGTGCAATCTGCTACAGAGAGGAAGATCTATCACTCTGTTTGAGTTGCGAGAACTACAAAACTCTGTCTACAGCGGTGTGGAAGAGTGGGGACTCTTTCCTTACTAAGAATCTTTGTAGGAAGCACTTTAACCCTGCTTATATGTAAAGTACATAGATTTTTTACAGTTTATGACCATTGTTTATGATGAATGACAATGGCTCCTTTAATACATGTACATCTTCACTTCCTTGTTTTAAATACAGCTTTTTATAAACATTTTTACCAAGAATGTGCATTTATTTTTTCATATTTGTATTAACGTGTGGTTGCCTGTTTTTTAATATGTAAGTTCACCGGTGCATGACGGATGACATATTTCTGATTCTGAACCAGACAAGTTTCATTAAGGCCTGTCTTCATGTTACATCTATTTCGCTAACCTCTGTCTAAACTATGCTTGATTTTTGTTTCAAATTAATAGTTTTTGCCTTTATAGACACTTATTCTCGGTTGGTCAGTGTGGTTCTCACCTGTGTGACAGCCTGAGTGGATGCTGGGAAACCAGTGACCAGGCTGACGGCTGCAGCTCCGTCTGTTTGACCCTCCAACTGGCCATCGGACACCTGGATCACTCTGTAAGTCACCTGGGACACAACATGTCACACTGAGTGATCAATACTTCATTATCACTGAGGAGACCAACACACAACTGTCGGGCATACGGGGTTTGTGCAGCATTTTCTTTACTAAAATAAAGTACTTTTAAGGAACCTAAACTAAAAATGTCCAGACTCTCAAAGCCTTTATCATTAAGATTAATACATCTTCCTGTAGTGTGTAACATAGGTTTGCATGTAAATGGTCTGCAAAGGCTAAAATCCCTGTGTTCCCTCTAGAGCAGGGATGAGCAACTTTGATGGTGGTGGGGGCCACATAATGTATGTACTGGCCACCAGGGGGCCGCAGATTCACTTGGAACACACACACACACAAATTCCATGTGTTGTATGTAATTATTAACAAATATACTAAGTCTGACATCTTCATTGACATTTTCCAATCTTTCAGGGAACATCCTCTAATATGCTCACTAAACAAATGTCAGTTCACAGAAATGTTATTTAATGTTTACAAGTGGCATGTTTGTATTGAACAGGTTATTTAACAGTGGAATAAAACTATTTTAAACTATTGGAAAGCACGGAAAATGTGTGTGCATTGAGATTAACCATTAAGATGACATAAACATGAAGTCATGAACACTAACCCAGACATTAGTTGTCTAACTTGAACCTAAGACACTTGTAGCCTGTCTCTGCTGACGCACAAGAGGAGTGTCAACACAGACACCTGTCAACCCGCACTCTGCTGTTCCTCAGCGCCGCTCCCCCTCCCTCCGCTAAAATTATGAATGAAAAGCGTATAGTAATCATAGATAACACGGCAGGGTCCGTGACAGTTTGTTTTCATCTGATTTCAAATAAACAAAGTATTGGCTTTCAGAATATTAAACTTGTTTCGCCAAATTCAGATGATAAATACAACTTTGAAGCTTGTAACGGCATAATTACACGCAGTAACTTAACGTCACAGCAGGCATAACAACAGCCAGTGTTTCTTGTGAGTGTTTCCCCGGGAAACAAACACAATACACACAAACGCGTCACAGATTATTTTGCGGTATTTGAAATCATGTACGCAGCTCGCGACGTAACTAGGAGTCTAGTGGACGGTATCAGTACTACAAGTAAAAATATATATATATTTTTTTTTTTATTAATTACGTTGTTTATAAATTCATCTGAGGGCTGCAAAAAGAGGAGGTGGGGCCGCCATTTGCCCATCCCTGCTCTAGAGGGAGTTTCTCTCCCACACACACACTAAAAAGACAAAAATAAAGACCTTCATGAAATGAGTACAATATGTCCACCTTAACCCCTAAGGGGAATTGCAATTACCTAGTGTCACTATGAATGCAATGGAAAACAACAAAGTTATAACTATGAATGCAGTTGAGAAAAAGTTTAAATATTTTCTTTATACGCACAACAATCAATGTATCTTGGCAGTTTTTCATACGCACTTTGATTGTATGTTATCATCATTATTTAATGCTGAGCTAGCTCATTTCATCATGAATAATTGTGTCGCCAAAACGCCAGATTATTTAAAAAATCAAGCATTTATCCAACATTATGCTCAAAATTAAGCTTACAGCTAACCTTAATAACATAACTGTTCAAAGTAGGGCTGTGCGATTATGGCAAAAATCATAATCACGATTATTTGGGTCAATAATTGATATCACGATTATTATATACGATTATTCATTGACTTTGAAAAAATCCATTTATTGAACTTTAAAACAAATACAAATAATAATTTGAAGAGTATCTTTTTAACTGTTGATTACCCTGAACGTATAATTCAACTGAAAAACCAATACAAAAATAAATAAAATAAATGATACATTTAAATAAATAATATCAAAATAATAAATACCAATAAACAAGATCAACAAATATTTTGGAGCGCACTTCCCCAAGCTACTAAACATATATAAATATGATAAATACAAATAAATGAGACCAAAATGAATTAGATCAAATATGTTGCAGTGCACTGTCACAACCTACTGTAGCAAAGCAAAATAATTTTTTTTTTCGATTATGTTGTTTTCGTAATTGTGGCAGGCCAAAATCGTAATTGCGATTAAAATACGATTAATTGCACAGCCCTAGTTCAAAGTCAAGCTCTGTCCAACACTTTGTAAGAATTCTGAGCATACAGATAGAGAGATTGAATATACCTTCTACTTTTAGGTCTCCATTAAGTGAAGTGGGTCATGAGTGCTGAGACCAGGGGGTATTGCAAACTGGCACGATTATCAAGAAAGGTGGAGTCACAGACAAGATTTGCACTTCAAATGAGTTGCATGTATCAGGGTAATACTGTGTTCTGAGAACCTGACAACAAGGACAGTCTGAAGGGGGGGATTTGGCAAATCAAAGCAGCTGCTTTTGGCCTTAACTTATTTGGGGGTTTTTTAGGGGGCGGGTTGGCTACAGTCGTCAGTCATGTGACCCCCCAAGGTCTTTCTTTCTTCTGTGAAGAAGCTGTTGGTTCAGGAGAGGATGTCTACAACTTGATGTCTTTCTCCACAAATATAGATTTGTAATGCCACTTCACTCCAGTGTGCTTTGACTTTGTCTTCTGTTCTGTATCTGCATAATAATCCTAAAGTACATTTTTTACTTTGATGTCTCTTTCTGATTTTTGTCTGTGTGTTTTCCCCTGAAGACTTAATTGAAACTCTTTCCTACCTGTCCGCCTGCTCCTTCTGTCTTGAAGAGATATTTGATGGGTTGGTCGGTGAAGGTGGCGGCAGACTGAATGGTGGCAATAGCTGCCGGGTCCTCTGCTGTGGCTACGGACCCTGAAGGAGCAAAAAGTCACGGAAAATGTTAGTAAACTTTGAAAAAATCTTACAGAAATAACAGCTTTATTGTGCTATGGGTATACATGTAATTCCACAACCGTGTGCCATCTTAAAGGTACAGTTGAAAGGTAAGGATATATAGTAGGCACACACAGCATGTTTTCATGGTTAAAATGCACTCATATGGTGGTTTTATTAAAGGGTTTCATCCTCAAAGCATATCAAATAATAATTGTTTTTAACTTAAAAAAGGTTGTGTCGGAAACCAGGTTGTTTAACTTGTGTATAATAAACCATACACAGAGCATAGCAAATAATTGTAATGATACACAATATATAAATGTAAATATTTTTGGACATACTGTAAAGATAGATTTAATAGGCAATGATGTGTTTTTATCAGTGGTGTAAAGTAAATAAGTAGATTTACCCAAGTAGTGCACTTAAGTAACATTTGAGGGACTTGGACTTTATTTGAGTATTTAAATGTTTTGCTACTTTGCACTTCTACCACACTAAAAATCAGAGGTACATTGTGTACGTTTACTCCACTACATTTAATTAATACCTTTAGTTAGTTTGCAGATTTGGATTAATGATTTGAAATATAATCAACATTTAAATAAGGCGTTAGTTACACATGGAGTGAATTCACAAGCTACCCTGAGGTATACAAAGTCATTCAAACTAGCTGCACCTTTACCAGCTTTGATAACACTTTAATGATCAATCATTATAATCAAAACATATAATATATATTATTCTGGAATGGGCCAATCTGCATGATGAGTACTTCTACTTTTGGTACTTTAAGTACATTTTGATGCCATTACTTTTGTACTTTTATTTAAGTAACATTTTGAATGCAGGACTTTTACTTGTAACAGAGTATTCCTACACTCTGGTGCTTTTACTTTTACTCAAGTACAAGATCTGAGTACTTCTTCCACCTCTGGTTTTTACCTTCCTCGTTGACGGTTACACCCCCATCTGGTTCAGGGCTTTTCTGTTGGCTGCACAAATGGAAATACAAGAGAGGTGTCATGTTATTGTTAACGAATTCACTACTAGTTAGAAGATGTGTAGTCATGTCTATCAATGTATTTCTGTTGTTATACGTTGACAATAGCGCATGTTACGGTCCCGCTCACCTCTTCATTGCTGCCGACAGTCTTGGACGACGAGACCGCCTTCACTCGCGCCCACAGCCAGACTGTGAAACAAGTTCATAAGTTAGACAATGGAAATAATGAAACCTAGATAAAAACTATACAATACTGACTACTCATATGTCTCTTAACGACATGCCCCCAAAGCTTAAACCTGGAACGGTGTTTTGAATAAGGTTTTGGTAGCTAGCTTTGAGGCTGTGCGAGCTGAGCTGAAGTTACCGTGGATGGTACCGGAAGCTAGCCGTCGTCGCCTTCAAAATTAAAGCATAAAATGATGCGGGCCAAACAAAAAATACTGTGTGCGGTGAAAAACGGTTTTATGAAACCACGTTTTTATTTACTTGCCAGATTGCTTACACGAGTTGTGTATTTTCGGTTGTGTGCTATTTCACTCAGATAGCTAACCATTAGTATTTGAACAAGTATTTTGCTTCGGGGCTTCGCACCGGAAATCATGCTTTCTTGTAGCTAGCTTGACAGGGATTCTACATTTCTGCTACATTACCACTCGGCCCCAGCGGTTTTACAGATGTTTAACAAAGCACTTTCCATTCCTCTAACCTTGTTCGGGCAGTGACTGCAACAGCATACACAGACAATCTAAAACGAGTTTGAGGGGCTATAATATACACACACTGCTAAATTATGTAGAATATATTCCATTCTGAACAAAGATCTACTTACGCCGCAGTGGTCCCTCCCCCGATATTTGTCAACAGACCAGCGTCGATGACAGCGTTACGCATGCGCGATAAGGAAGACATTTGCCTGATTCCAGATCAGTTCATAAGTATTGAATATTCATTTTAATAAACAAGGAAATACAAATATCTGACGCACGGGCTGTTGTTGATACTGCCACATTCACGGGGGAGGAGGTGCGTTCAGGAGCAGGTGGGAATCTGAAACACTCGGTATCAACCCATCATTGCACAGTTCTGTTAGTTAAAACTTATCGTTTAAAGAGAAATCTTGAATCCATGATTATTAAAGATATTGCACAGTTCAATGTATACATTTATCGTATACAATGTTTAAAATAGTTCTGTTGATACATGAGAAATCGGAAAACCAAAATATTGCGAGATTAACGCTGCACAAATGAAGGCAGACCACAGCCGATAGGGACCAGTGTTGAGGCGAGTGCCAGCCGGACGTCTGAAATAATATGTTCGGTTTAAAAAATAAACAATACAAAATATATATATATTTTCTGTAAAATGAAATGGTGTGGTATGGAATTAAAGAGAACAAGTGAATACAATGCCATTACTAAAACAAACTCAACATTTATTTCAGAGCAACTTTGCTTCACTGATTCAAGTATTTTTATATTTTAATTTACACACTGAGGCAATTTAAGAAAGTAAAATGTTGGTATTTATGAGAATCCTTTACATGACGACAGCATGTGTGACCAGAGGGACAGAAAACACTGGACTGCGCCCGTGGTTCGATCCCGCGAAGGGATAGAGAACGTAGGAATTCTGGAGATGAATTGTTGTTCGAAGTAACCACTGAGCTAAGCCAGCGCGGATTTTCAGGAAGGTGGGTGGCTTTATAAACATGACAAGAATGACGTGTTGCTTGTGACATCCTTATAAAGAATACAAGGAAGTCAATCGTTCTTCAGATCCATAACTGCTGTCGTGGATAAAGAATATTGAGAACAAAAAATGACAAATGCTTGGATAAAATAAATAATACAAAACCAAATAAACACATGTCTATCAAGAAAGAAAGAAAGAAAGAAAGAAACAAAACATGTAAGACTTTTCTTTCCAAACATTTATGTTTTTATGTTTGGTCGTGGGAAACTATATTTAGCCTACCTTAAAATTACATAGCACGTTATGGAATGAATTAGTTTAATTACTGAAACAAAATCAACATCGACATTAGATATTCTTTCAAAGCAACTTTGCTTCACTGATTCAAGTATTTACTATTTTAATGTCCAAACTGAGACAGTTTTGAAAGTAAGATGTTGGTATTTATGAGAATCCTTTACATGACGACAGCATGTGTGACCAGAGGGACAGAAAACACTGGACAGCGCCCGTGGTTTGATCCCGCGAATGGATAGAGAACGATCGAATTCTGGAGAAGAATTGTTGTTCGAAGTAACCACTGAGCTAAGCCAGCGCAGATGTTCAGGCAGGTGGGTGGCTTTATAAACATGACAAGAATGACGTGTTGCTTTGAGACATATGGAATAAAAGGAAATTCATCTTTATTCCAGTCCATAAATGCATCGTGGATAAAGAATATGGAGTAGGCCTACTAAATATGACAAATGCATGCAGAATAAATGCAAAACCAAATAAACTGAGAATGAGAATCCTTTACATGACTACAGCATGTCAGACCAGAGAGACAGAAAACACTGGACAGCGCCCGTGGTTCGATCCCGCCAAGGGATAGAGAACGATCGAATTCGGGAGAAGAATTGTTGTTCGAAGTAACCACTGAGCTAAGCCAGCGCGGATGTTCAGGCAGGTGGGTGGCTTTATAAACATGACAAGAATGACATGTTGCTTTGAGACATATGGAATAAAAGGAAATTAATCTTTCTTCCAGTCAATAACTGCTATCGTGGATAAAGAACATTGAGAACAAAAAGTGACAAATGCTTGGATAAAATAAATACAAAACCAAATAAACACATGACTATCGAGAAAGAAAGAAACAAACAAAACATGCAAGACTTTTCTTTGCCAACATGTATGTTTCTATGTTTGGCCGTGGGAAACTATATTTACCTTAAAATTACATGGCACGGTATGGAATTATTTAGTTTAATACAATTGAATTTACTGAAACAAAATCAACATCAACATTAGATATTCTTTCAAAGCAACTTTGCTTCACTGATTCAAGTATTTACTATTTTAATGTCCAAGCTGAGACAGTTTTTGAAAGTGTAACCGCGGCCGCGCACACGGCCTAAAGTTTAGCTGTTCGACTGATCAAATTTGCCCTTTAACTCAAATGTAACAGCAAAAACTCCACCGATTCAATTAAAGAAACACGATACAGTTGGCAGTCAACAAAAAGGTTCAAGACAAGGATAATCTCCCAAGAGTATGAGTGTTTTTATTATCTCAATGAATCTTATCCAATGAATTGATATACTGTTGTGCTTTGTGTCTTTTGTTAAGGGATCCAGCAGCACCCCCGACGTGAGCGGCAGCCTTGGGAGTTGAGATTCAGCGGTGTTACGCCCTCACGTGCACTTCACTGCCCCTTAAGTGTGTGTGTGTGTGTGTGTGTGTGTGTGTGTGTGTGTGTGTGTGTGTGTGTGTGTGTTTAGTTAATTTTGCACCTTTCTTCATTTATCACTTTGTTTTCAGTTGCTGTGTACAGGGCACGTGTGTGTGGCGGTGAGTAATATTTAGATTTGACCTGCTTGCTTCCCCCTCCCAACAGTAACTGTCTGTGCTCATTTAGTCAGTTTTTATAGGCTGGATACCATTTTAAATAGCATTCTTGGTGTAGATGAATTCATAATAAATTGTTGTTTTTCCTGGTTAAAGTATCGTTTGTATGTGTCTGATATTGATAAATAAATATCATACTCTTGGGAGAAAATCCTTGTCTTGAACCTTTTTGTTGACTGCCAACTGTATCGTGTTTCTTTAATTGAATCTGTGGATTTTTTGCTGTTAAATTTGAGTTAATGGGCAAATTTGATCAGTAGAACAGCTAAACTTTAGGCCGTGTGCGCGGCCGCGGTTACAAAAGTAACATGTGGGTATTTATGAGAACCCTACATGACGACAGCATTTGTGACCAGAGGGACAGAAAACACTGGACAGCACCCGCGGTTCGATCCCGCGAAGGGACAGAGAGCAGTAATTCTGGAGATGAATTGTTGTTCGAAGTAACCACTGAGCTAAGCGAGGGCGGAATTTCAGGAAGGTGGGTGGCTATATAAACATGACAAGAATGACGTGTTGCTTGTGACATCCTTATAAGGAATACAAGGAAGTCAATCGTTCTTCCAATCCATGACTGCTGTCGTGGATAAAGAATATTGAGAACAAAAAATGACAAATGCTTGGATAAAATACAAAACCAAATAAACACATGACTATCAAGAAAGAAAGAAAGAAAGAAAGAAACAAAACATGTAAGACTTTTCTTTCCAAACATTTATGTTTTTATGTTTGGTCGTGGGAAACTATATTTAGCCTACCTTAAAATTACATAGCACGTTATGGAATGAATTAGTTTAATTACTGAAACAAAATCAACATCGACATTAGATATTCTTTCAAAGCAACTTTGCTTCACTGATTCAAGTATTTACTATTTTAATGTCCAAACTGAGACAGTTTTGAAAGTAAGATGTTGGTATTTATGAGAATCCTTTACATGACGACAGCATGTGTGACCAGAGGGACAGAAAACCAAAACCAAATAAACTGAGAATGAGAATCCTTTACATCAGGGGTTCCCAACTCCCGGTCCGCGGACCGGTACCGGGCCGCGGAGGTGTTACTGCCGGGCCGCGAAATAGCTGTGAGTTTATCGTAATATTTGCAGAATTATAAATATATAAAAATATTTTATCATAATATTTTTTTCAAAAAGTGTTTCATTTTTGCACCTATGCCACCAGTCATATTATTTCATCCAGTAGCTAGTTAATCTTTCACCAGAAAACCGTTGAAAATGGCTTTTATGATGTTCCGTGGGATTCGGCGGCTCAGCCTAAGGTCTCAGCCTCTTGTGCGCACGAGCATGTTACCGGTGTGCCAACTAGGAAGAGGAGCGCACAGGAGACAACCGTTTGATTGCAGACTGTTATGTTTATGTGGGGAAATGGTGGTGCTGTGGTGCCGAGAGACGGGAGTCGGAGGCGGGGTATCAAATGAACAAGCTAGACTTTTATTTTGCATCTGAACTTCATGTCAACAACAACATGCACGAGGAGAAGAATACCGGCGGAAACAGAAAGTCCGCCTCACTCAAATGTCCGTGCGGAACAAATCCCCAACCCCTAGATCTGTGGGTGGATAATGTCAATCACCACACAAGCCCCCCCAGAATTCACCCATAGTCAAAATCCTCGTGCCTGGGAGGAAGTACCACCCGACCCCGGCGCGTACGGACCACAGGGGCCGAGGAGGGCGGGGCCGCAGGCGAGGGCAGGGGCAGGGGCGCCAACGAGGGCGAGGGCATCCCCACAGGGGGCGGGGGGCGGGCCATGGGAGGGCGGCCCCGACGTGGGGGCAAAGCCAACTCCAACGGCCTGGAAACGTCCACGTGAGCAGGCTTAACCCGATCAACAGACACAGTCTCAGGCCTGCCACCAACGTCCACCACCAGGCTCTTGTCCCCGTGACGTATGACCCTGAACGGACCGTCGTACGGGGGCCGCAGGGGGCCGCGGTGGGCGTCGTGGCGAATAAAAACGAAATCCGCCGACCGTAATCCGGGGGACACCCGGAAAGCTGGGCTGCTGTGCTGCGACGTTGGGACGGGCGCGAATGTCCCGGCGGTCTCCAGCAGGGAGGAGCGCTGCCCGGCCGCAGACCAGGGCACAGTGGCGGTGGGAATGAATTCCCCGGGGACCCGTAGCGTCTGGCCATAAACGAGCTCCGCCGACGAGGACTGCAGGTCTTCTTTGGGGGCACACCTGAGGCCGAGCATAACCCATGGGAGCTTATCCACCCAGTTGCCGTCTGTCAAGCCGGCACGCAGCGACGCCTTCATGGATCGG